TATCTCTAGAATCTAAACAAAATCTGTTTATTAACAAGAAACGGTCTAGTCCTGTTTGTCTTTGCTGAATTCTGCTACAATTCATAATCCATCCTCTTCAGCTCAAGCATTACTGCTGCATGCAGGAGAAAGAAGGACCAGGTGAGAGCTCCCCAGATGGGAAGAAACTTGCCCTGGGATTGCCAATTTCCCACCTCCACCATGTTTGAACCCTAAGGAGTAGCTCGCTGGAGACTTGTGTCCTGAAATGATGGAGCGGCTCTGAGAGCTCAGTTTGAGCAAATGTGTGGTTCTCCTTCTTCCCTGGTCCTGGGACCTCATTAGTCTTGGTTCTCTGCCTTCTGAAGGCTGTGGGTCCCAGACTTAATCATAACTTTAGACTTGGCAAGAGAGTCAATACCTAAATACTCATCACAGTTGCTTGAATCTCTTAAAATCTTTTAGATCAAAAAGGCCCTTTGAGACAGTGTTTCCAAGTCTCTTCTTTTGGTGGTAGAGAAGCTGAAGTCTGGCAACAAAGGAAATAATTTAGCTTCATTCATTCAGTCACCGAGTTTACAATCTAGCTGGAGAGGAAGAAATTAAGGAACCCACAAATATAGAATTATACATTGTGATAAATGTGGTGAAGAGAAGTCACCAGCAATCATGAGCACCTACATAGGGACCACATAGACAGGGAATCAGGAAGAGCTTCCTGGAGGAAGATTTAAAGGAAAAGTGAGAGTTAGAAAGGCGGACAGTAGGAACATTTCAGGCAAAGATACAACAAAAGCTGCAAAGGCCTTGAGACCAATGTCATATACTAGGGCCTACTTCTGACTCTCAGTTGAGGCATCTTCCAGTTCCTACAGGACTGACATTCTAAGCAGATAGTTTCTTTCCTGGTGTCACCTCACCAGGTGGGTGGGTAACACCTCATCCTTCCTGAGAATAAGATGCTGTAAGCTGCACAACACACACAGAGCAGACTAGGGTGTTTTTTAAACTGTTGTCCAAGCCGTCACTTAGCTCCTGATACAAGGTAGCTGTCGATTCATGACAGCAAAGCAAAGTGACACTCAGAGTAATTCCTCAGAGGGGGAATCCATGTTTCCTATTCAAATTTAAATACTTCTTCCAAAATGACCCAAGACATGTGATAGTTTGGTGTTGGTAGAGATGGTATTGATAAATTCAGGGTGGCTATTTCTTATAGGACTCATAATATTTGCAATCATGCAGGAGTCCTCCTCCTCCCCTGTCCCCCCCCCAATGGGATGCACAGGACCTTCTAAAGACATGACTGTGAGCTAGTCTGGGGTGACACATGTCTCTTGGAATTACAGGGGCTAGCCCTCCAGGAGGAGACTGACACAACTCTCGCCTGATTAGATTTACTCCTGTGTCCAGACATCTGTGATACTTAGAATCTGCTCTTCCTCCTTAGACTTTGCTACTCACCTTAGGCACAGTATTTATTCAAAAGGACCACCTGTAGGGCACTCATTTCTGACACTCACTTTTCTCAGAGATGCCCTGAGATGGGAGTATATTAAGTATCACATAACACACGATGTCAGAGCTGTCTTGGTGCATATGGTGTAAATGTGATAATCTGCTTTATTTTCATTCCACTTATAGCTCCCATTCACAGTTTCCTCCTACCCCTTTTTAAAGGAGTCACAGACTTTTAGAGTACCAGGAGGTTTAGATATGATCTGATGTAAACTTCTCATTTTATAAGTATAAAAATTAAGTCTGGGGGGAATTGTGTGGCTTGTCTAAAGGTGTTTTATATGTCAGCTTTAGATCTGGGAGTCTAAATGGTTTCATGACTATTTCCTACACATGTTACCTCCTTAAATGGGGATAAAACTGTCACAGTTGGATTTCATCTCTTTGAATTTGGATGCAGAGTATATACCAAGGGAGGAATTACGTAGACTCACTTTTACCTTCATCCAAAAAGAAAATTCTTTCAGACTATTTAGATCCAGAGGATAGAAAGGAAAAAGGAAAAGAAATCAGTTTACCACTATGAATACAGGAAAGGAATCTCTAATCGTAAGATATTGCAAACGAAGTGATAATTTTCTGTTAATTCTAGCTATGTCTTATTCACACTGTCCTCTATTCTAGCTTGTGTGCTCTGTTCACTTTGCCCTCCCTCAATCTCCACCTGCTCAAGACAAGTTAAAGTTATCTCACTCAGGCCATGTTTTTGCATTTTAACCTGGTTATTTCAACCAAAGGATCAAAGCAACCACAAGGAACGGTCTGATTTAATACTATGTCTGTCCTAGAGTATAAAATAAGTAAGGATAGTTTATTTTATACTCAGACCAAGCTGGTGCAGAGGAAAATTTAATGCAGGCAATGGCAATAGGTGGGGACAGGAGAGAGACAGCAGGATGTGGAACAACAGTCTCTCTCTCCAGGGGTGGCTACCTTGTACTGTTTGAAACGTGGCTCCACCTGAGACCTACTGAATCATTTTCCTGGAGAGTGGGACCTGCACATCAGTACCCATAGTCAGGTTTCCAGGTGATTCGTAGTAACACCTAGGTTTAAGAACCATAGGTATACAGGGAAGAATAATGGAAGGTGAGTTAAAGGAAATTATTTATAGCTGTGGTTACTGTTTGTCTAATTTGAAGCCAGTCCTTTAACTTCACGGTTTCCCCTGTGAGTCCATCCTATTTTTTCCTCTATGCTCCCTTCCAATTCTGAATTTCTCCAGTTCTAAGTTTTCCTCTGAACTTTGAGAAGAGAAAAAGGAAGGGGTGCCACCCTAAGGGTTGCAGCCAGCTTGGATACTCACTTTGAGCCCCATGAGGTAGTAGAGGACACTGATGACAGTCATGGGGAGGATGTAGAAGAGGAAGGAGGTGACCTGGATGATGAAATTGTAGATCCACATGGGCTTGATAACTGTACAGGTGGCAGAGCCCGGGACGAAGGTCCCATTGGGGAAGTAGTGGAGCTTGATGCCATGGATGCTGGTGTTGGGCAGAGAGAACAGAACAGAGAAGCCCCAGACGACGCCGAGGATCCTGAGGGCCCGCCGCCGGGTGCTTTCCAGCTTGGCGCGGAACGGATGGAGGATGGCCACGTAGCGCTCCACGCTGACTGTGGTGACGCTGAGGATGGAGGCGAAGCACACGGTCTCGAAGAGGGCCGTCTTGAAGTAGCAGCCCACCGGCCCAAACAGGAAGGGGTAGTTGCGCCACATCTCATAGACTTCCAGGGGCATCCCAAGAAGCAGGACCAGGAGGTCGGAAACAGCCAAGCTGAAGAGGTAATAATTGGTGGGTGTCTTCATAGTCTGGTGCCGAAGAATCACCAGGCACACCAGGAGATTGCCAACAACCCCCACCACAAAAATCACTGCGTATACCACAGTCACCGGAAGGAAGAGGTGGCTGCGCTGAGGCCCGCAGAGCAAGGTTAGGTAGTCCTCGGTGTTGTTCGGGAATTTCTTAAATGGATCTTCCAGTTCCTGTTGGGAGATCCAGGAAATATTCTCATGTTTTTCCATCACTGCCATTAAAATCCAAGACCAGAGCCTGCTCTGATAGGAGCCTCTGTCCCAAGCTGAGCCAGAAAGGAAAGAGCAAGCAGGCAGGAAAGCACAGACTCGCTGAAGGAGGCTGGGGAAGGCTAGTGCTTCAGCAAGGTTGGGCTGCGCGGACCTCGGAGCCCTTTTGAAGAGCCCCCGAGACGGAAGCCCCGCCCCTCCGCGCGCTGTGGGCCAATGTGTGTGTCAGACGCTCAGCGAAAGGACAGCTGGGTGGGGCGAGCTGGCTTCAGTGCAGGGAGCAGGAGAGGAGGGGGAGACGGTTCTCTGAATTGGAAGCAGCTGGGAAAAAGAGCTCATACAGACGGTGATACTAACTTAAATAAGGTGTGGGCACTCAGAGCAGTGCGTTTTGCAAAGCTGTGGGAATCTGGAAATACAAATTTAGGTTGCAGGGTCCTGGGTAGAAGAGTACAAATCTCCATTGATCCTTGTCACCTTTGCAGCTTGACAAAAATAAGAGATCAATAAATTTCTCTAGTTGTCTTATTCCATTGGCAATTTAGGGCTCCCTGGGGAAAGCGTGACAATATGCCTTTTTGGATTTGATTGCATCCGTGGTATTACCCTAAACCTAGAAGGGCGCTCGCACATCATCTAGCCCTGCCTGCTGATACTTCAGTCTCTTGTGACAGTGCCTTATTGTAGCAAAAAGCAGTAGGATTTAGAATCATGCACACCCGTAGAAATCCTGTAAGTCTTTCGTAAGTTTACTCAAACTCTTGGGCCCTCATTTCCTTATCTGTAAATTGGAGATTCACTCACTCTATTTTATTCAACAGATACTTCTTGAGAATTTTCTGTGTACCAGGTAATACGCTAGGCTTTGTAGAAACATCAATGAACAAGCAAGACAAAGTCTCTGCCTTCGTGGAACTTTTTTTTATAGTAGGAAATTCTGAAAACCTACAAGCAAACTAATAAACTAATACAATTTTGGATAATAATTTGTGCTGTAAAGAAGGATGGGGCCATACAAACTTAAGGCTGGAGGTACTCTTTTATCAAGAATGATCAAAGAAGACATCTCAGGGATGTTATTTGGGCTGAGTTTTGACTGAAGAAAAGTCAATCATAAAAGAGCTAAGGGAAGTGTATTCCCAGCAAGAGTAACATCAAATGCAAAGATCCTGAGGCAGTGACAAGCCTGATGCATTTCAGAAACATCAAAAAAGCTAGTATAGCTGGAACTTCATGAGTGGACAGGAGAGTATGAGTGAAGATTGAAATGACTGGAAAGGACCAGATTATATAAATTTTCTAGGATTTGGTAAAAAAGTTTGTCTCTTTTTCAAACTACAGGGACTTTGGATCTGATTCAAGCTGCAGAGAAATTTTTGTAGGGTTTTGAGCCAGAGAATTAGGAAGGACGAAGTTTTAACAAAATTGTAGGTAGGAGGCCAACACAATACTCCAAGAAAGAAATAGTAGTGGCTTAGATTACTATGATAGCAGTAGACCTGAGAGATACCTTTGGATTTGGGAATATTTTAGTGAGGGATGATACCGTACATAGTCGTTGAGAAGATTAAATGAAATTACATATGTTAAAGCACCTTATACTTGAGATGCTCACTAAATGTTAATTATTCTTTTCCTTTTATTTATTAAATTGAATGATGAAATTAAGACTAAAGAGGTAAAGTGATTTGTCCAATAATAATCTGTTGGTTAAGATGGGGCAGTTTATGCTGCTGTAACAAATAACCCCCATATCTCAGTGGTTTAAAAAAGTAAAGATTTGTTTCTCACTCACACTACAAATTTATCATTGGTCAGCTGGAGGATCTGTCCCATGCTTTGCTCGCTCTGGGATCCAGGCTAGTGGAGTGGTCCCTGTTTGGGAACTTGCTTATTATTGTGGTAGACAGAAAGGAAGCTGTAGAAGGTCTCAAGTAGATAATTATAAGCCCTAGCCTGAAGTAAGTAATATATGCCACCTCTGTTCATAGCTCACAGCTTGTTGACCAGGGTAATCTTGTGTATATACTTAAACACGACAAGGGCAGGAAGTGCTGTCCTACCATGTGCACAGAAGATGGAGAACCTAGAAAATTTATTGTACAGCCTTAATGACACAAACAGAAAGTCATGGCAGAGTTAGAATTGGAGCCTTCTAATTAATGATAAGCTTTGATGGTGAACTCACCATTAACAGACTTTAATATATATTTCTAATGAAGTAGGAAAAACATTTAAATATAGGAATGCAATATCTCCTTGAGATGTCATGGTTGTTAAAATTATAACAGGTTGCAAATCAGAGGCTGGGGAAGATACACAATACATATGCCAGCATATTAAAGATTCAGAGTCGTCTCCACACTGTGACATGGTCTTATCAAATAGAATGATGTCTAAAAAGGATGCCATAACAGGTTCAATGCAAGGAGGTTGTGTAGGAGTGACAAAGAACTCTAGGGAACTAGAGTGCAGGCTCTAGTGTAGGCCAGGGGTTCAAATCCTTGTTATGCCTCCTACCTGCTGTATGACCATAGGGAACTTATTTAACATCCATGACTGTCAGTTCCCCCATCAGCAAAATGAATAAAATAGCAGTGCTGCCTTATAAGATTGGTAGTAGAGTGAAATAGTTCCTGATGAAATGGTGTGTATGTGTATATATATATATGTATATACACACATACATACATACACACACACAGACACACATATATTATTTTAAGTGATACAGCATTTTAAATAGATATGTAACAAGGTAATTTAGTAATGAAGATGTCTGTTTTTGTTGTGGTCAAAAGGCTATTGCAAGATATGAAACTGGGAGATGTGCTTGAAAGTATTAATGTGAAAAGAACTCAGTTTTACTGAGCTGTCAGTTCAGGACAGCAAGTCAGAGTAGCTTCCTAGAAACTGTATACATATCTATTACCCAGATTGCCTGGGTCTTATACTTTCTAGTTAAGTTAAAATGGTGAGAATGTTGAGGGGCTCAGTATCCTTAAGGGATGTTTGATTGTTGCATGTTGGGGATGTTTTGCCTGAGGAAGACTCAGAAGAGCGAAGTGGGTGTGAAGGGCACCTTCTCAAATATTTGACAGTATCTTTGGATGACACCCAAGGACAGAGGGGAAACAAAGGTGTAGAAAACCTCAGAGAGCTGCAATAGGGAGTCAATTCCACTAGGATTTCCTAATAATCAAACAGAAAACCTCTTGGAATTGTTCCCTTGAATACTTGAGCATCTTCTTTTTTTTTAATCTAGCAAGTCTTGCCTCCCATTGTTTGAAGGTTGCTCCTGGGGGTGATAACTTCCCTTTGTCTCTGGACTAATCTTGTCTGTGGTTTGAACAGGCTTCCATATTATGGGGTAGAAAATAGAAATGTAGCCTAAATTTATGGTGCACGTCTATCAGCAGAGTTAGTCTGAGCATGCACAGGGCTAATATTTGTAGCTGTGGCTGAAATCAGGTGGGCCCAGGGGATGTGATGTGATGAAAATCTTTTAAAGAACCAGTAGCTCATATTTACTGAGCACTTATTCTTCCTAGGCACTTTTGTAAATATTTTACATATGTTAGCACATGCATTCTTTACAGTAATCCTATGAGATAAAGTTCTTTTTTTTTTTTTTAATCTCTGCATCACAGGTTAGGAAACAGAGGCATACACTTAAGAGCCTTTTTGAAGCTCACATAGTGTATCAGTCATTTGGGTTAAGTTATGTTTCAGAGATAAAAATTCCCAGATTTTAGTGGATTAAAATAAACAAAGATTTATTTCTTGCTCATTCTACCTCTCTGCTGAGGGTTGCATGGTAGCCGCTGTTATCCTTTGTTCTTACGCTGGAACATGGGCTTCAACCTATGCCTCCACAGTCCCCTAAGGAAGATTCCTGAAGAGGACCATGGTTCTTGAATTTTCTGCCTAGAAATGACAAGCATCACTTTCATTTGCATTTCATGGGCCAGATCAAATTACATGGCCACTCCTAACCCCAAAGAGGATAAGAAGAATTATTTTATCATGTGCTTAGAAGGAGAAAACCAAAAATATTTGGTAAACAGAGTTAGTGACTGTACATTCTGCCCATCTGGATCCCAAGTATTTAGCTTACGTTCTTTCTTGCAGGAAAAATGCACTTTGCCCTGCCCTGTTAGGGATGCCGCAGCACTCCTATAGCTTTAAGTAAAAGTCCAGGAACTCTGGATGGCACATGGTGCTCTCTCCATTGGATCTACATGGGGCTCCTCTTGTTCCAGAGACTTATGAACTGAAGGACAAGTTATCAGCTTCCCATACGGATCCTCCCAGCCTCTAAGAACAGTTTTCTTATTGCTCATCTCACCCCTAGACTCATGCCATGGATCTTAGAGTTTTTGTTACAGCAGTACTGTACTTCGGTATCTAGTGTGGAGTCAGTAAATTGAACTACATTATTGCTGAAGTAACAAACAATGCCAAACTCTCAGTGACTTTAAACAGCAAAACTTACTTCTTTTTTTTTGTTCTATGTATTGATTGTGGCTGGGGAGAGAAAGCTTTGTACATCACTGTCTTTATCCAGGATAATACAGAAAATTCAACCATTCAAAACACAGTGATAAAACTGCTGCGAAGACATGACTGTGGGAGTGTGGCTTCTCAGTCCCATCCTTCTGGGGGCCTTTCTTCCATCCTTTAACATCTAGTATTGTTCTAGATATTGAGAATGTACTCAATAAATGGATCATAAAGATGTGTTGTAGAAACTAGATTGGCTATGAAACAATCATATTTGTAGAAGAGGTAATTAGGAAAATTGTTACCATCTTACAAGAAGGTGTTTGTTTTATAGATGTGAACAATGTGAACACGATTTCCCAGAAACACTGGAATAAGAACAGAAGCTTGATTTAGAGGCATAGCATTCCCAATTTTCAACTTTGGCATCCTAGCAAGTCAGGAAATGCTCCTGTTACCTTGGATAACGTCAACCAAAATATAGTTTCTGAGAAAAGATTACTGTCGGCCCTATTATATGCTGGTTTGGCCAGACCAGGAGTATTGGCTCCAGTTTTCAGTCTTGCACTTAAAGAGGAATTTGTAAGTTGACATAGTTTACCAAGGACCGCTGTGATGGTGGGAGGAATTGGAGTCATTGTCCCAGTAAAGAGAAAACTTGGCTTAGACA